TCCAAGGTTGCATTTCACTGACAAGCACCAAATCACAGAGCTGAAGCTAAAGATGAGCCTGCTGAGAGAAGTGACTTTTCACAATCTGCAGCTTCAGTTAATTCACTTTTCAATCTGAATCAGTTTTTCAGAATCTGCTCTGATTCACACCTCTGACTGGCTTCTTCTCTGGCATTAGCAGCTGAGGCTCGTGGGTATTGTAGTAGCCAGAAGGCAACAATTGACTTTCGCTGATTTGATAGTCAAATGTGAGCTGTAGGCGACTGCAGGTGTGGGGTATAAAACACTGCTGTCAAGTCAGGTACAGTTTGGTACAGCTAGTACCAAAGGGGGCACTGGATCGTTCAAATCTGAAGGGAGAGCAGGAGTGACCTCGTTCATGGAAATCTGACCTTTGTGATATTTGCAAACTGCACCATGAGATTATTTTCTGTCGCTGATCAGAACACCTGTGGGGGATCTACCTGCATCTCTTTAGCTTTCCTTTTCCGCTGCTCTGCCGTCGTCTGAACTGTGATGATCAGTAAACCTTTGCACAGCGGATGTCTTTCCATTTTCTTTTCTCTGGGGGATGTTCATTAATAGTGCAGCAGAGTGATTAACAGGACGACACAGATGAAACATGACACGGCGAGCAGACAGGCTTCAGTGGAGAATCAGCAGCTTCATGATGATGTTTTAACTAAACTGTGGACATGTAACCAGACATTAAACCCAGTGGACGACTGAAACAGCAAATTTCTGTGTGGATCTTCTCTACTCAGTCTTGTGTAACAGGGTGATGATTAATCTGACAGGATCTTCCTCTAACATGAACCTACCTGTCAGGATTACAGAAGAACAACATGGAGGCCAGAAGAACTGGAGCGTAGCCGCGGAGATAACGCTGGTTCTGACTGAAAATAGCTTGTTGACATGTTGCTTCAAGCAGAAGATGAAATCTGACCCAGACGTTGCTGTCAGTCTGTCTGCAGATGATCCTGTAGTAAATACTGAAGTGAGGGATTTGTACATTCAAATATCTAAAGCTGTGAACATATGCTGTATAATCGTTATAACCCCACTGGACTCACCTGGTGGCTCTCTGAACCAGCTGGTTCCACGTCTGTAGGCTGGATTATTGGCCTTCAAACATGCATGTTGCTCTCCAGGTCGAGACCTTCGGTTAGCTCTACGGCAAACGTTTCCCGTTCTCATTTCAGTCCCGGGTCCGGTTTCCTAGAACATGAAGCTTCCTATTAGTTTGGTTTGTGTTCCTGTTTCTTCCTCGGCTCTGCTTGCAGGAGCTGACCTGCTTCACCTTTACCATCCCCAGGTAAAGGTCCTAATCACTGGACAGCTCACACCTGGAAAGGGAAGATCCAGATTTAGGGTTTTCTTCACGAGAGAAGTATTCCGCTGAGCCTCTCTGTGCTCACTACACCGCTGTGTTCCTCGTCCTGTTCACGCCCTTCTGGGCACGTTTTGTTGTTGTATTGGTTCCACAATGTGGGGCCGCTACTCATGTTTGTCCTGAACTGTGGGCCCCGTTTTAACAATCTAAGGCGTGAAGCGCATGCCGCAGTCCAATGTTGCTAGTTTATATAATAAAGGTCAGTGCGTCGGGCGCATGGTCCAAAATGGTTGTGTAACATGTAATACACCAATCAGAGTGTCATCACCCGTTCCCTTAAAAGTCAGGTGTGCTTGTACTTTGGCACATTGCTTTTATAATGGCGCTTCATTAAATCCGTCTGGATCCTAGAACATCTGATGAACCGGTCTGAGTCACGTGTCTCCCCTACACTGGTTTCTTTATTCTGTGTTTGATTGATGTGTCAGTGTTTTCTTTAACGATTTCCTTTCATGATCAGAGAGGCGGCTGCCAGTCATTTTAAACGTTTCCATGTGTGCAGTAAAGTCACAGCAAATATGGTGGGACATTAGCCAAACAAGAAGCTGTAGTTCTAAACTTGACATGACAGGACGGGGAAACAGAATTCAACTTTTAGCTTATGAAATATCGAGACGCTCTGATGGAGATGTCTTCCTTTACTCACCTACACACACACACTTGCTGATGTGTGTGCTTTATTGATAATAGTGGTTTATCGGCTGAAGTTATTGGTTATTGATCTGTTCTAAGGTTAAATGAAGCCTCTTGTAATAAAAGCTTTCATGTCCACCTTATTCATGAATTGTTTAAATATTGGCATCATTGTGGTTGACTGACGGTTATTGGTCCCTGATCGCAGGGGGCCCTGCATTTATTCATCTACCTACCCATTCATCATTTATAAATACATCTCTTTGATATTTGCTAATAACCAAAGCTGCCTACCAGATCGCCACGTGATGCTTTAAAGTGTTTCTCTAATGTGTGTCTGGGTGGATTCCTTCATTCCTCCTCCACCTCCTCCTCCACACTCTGCTCTAACATTTGGGAACAATTAGCGCATTATGATCAGATTATGCTTCCTAAGAGGTCTATAATACCGGCCCTCGTGCTTACTCCTGATCTGACATGCAGAATGTTTAGTAATGTAGAGTTTAGTGGCGTCGGGACACTGACACACTCACAGAAGCTTTTCACGGGAGAAAAGTTTGAAAGTAAAGAGGTTTAAAGTAAATCACGTCAGAGGGAATGTTCTCTCGGTAGGTGGTAGAAAGACTTTTTCTTCCCCACGGCGAGCTAAGAAACAAGTTCACACTCAAAAGTTCAACTCTGTGCAGTCCAAGATGTTTCTTCAGTCTGTCTCCACCTACAGTCGAGACCTTTGCTTCCTGCACGTGGTGCCTTAAACCGTTTCATTGGGACTGTTTGGGGCTTCAGTTCTCTGCAGTAGAGTTTGCTCCAGAAACACTGATCATCTCTGATTCATCAGAAACATGTTCTTTCCAAGAAAGATCACAGAGTCCAAATGTGATGAATGAAGTCTTTATCGTGCGCCCTGAGAGAAGATCGCTGTTCTCTCTCAACATTCAGCATCTCTCTCCCTTAAATGCTCCCAAGTAGCAAAGAAACAACGAGTGGTGACCTCATGAGAATGTTCATTTAGTCTGGGGTTCAACATAAGGTCCCGGGCTCTTCCTGAGGTCACAGCTGTGTTAAAGCACGAGGTAAAGTCGTCACAGCCCCCTTAGTGTCACGCATCAGAAGAGAATGATCCTTTTAACACTTCGATCTTACTTTGAAAGTTAAAACACTACAATACAGTGAGTACTAATCATCTAATAATCTAAAAGTTCATTTCTCACATATTATATCACATGAAGCTCTTGTTTCATAGAGTTGATAACACTGTTTGATACTGCACACAGGTCTGATCCCAGATCTGCAGCAACACGGCCGACTGCTTCTGCCAGAACTTAAACCTGATTACACACTAACCACTGGACTCGTGTCATCGTGGGGCCAGAAACAGAGGTCCCCAGGTAGAGATGTTTGAGGGTCTCAGGTTAAGGCCACCCAGCTCTCACCGAGATGGAAGCTGGGGACGTATTACAGAAACTCCCTGGAAACCACGGCAATGAGGGTTAGGACCTGATCTGGGAAAGAAGACTTTACAGACTTCAGATAACTGTTCAGTGTTCCCAACTTTAACTTTTCCACCAGGTCCTGTTTGCTAACTGCTCTCTAATGCTTCTACAGAATCTAAATGTCAGAAGGTGGAACTGGTGACAGATCCTACAGATGTGTTTGATGGCTAAGCACTCGTTTTATTTATATCATTAAATAACATAGAAAACTGAAACACACGGTAACGTTAGCCCTTACTCCCTTCATAATACGGGTTTCTGCCTGCTGATCCAGCGCCACACGGTTATTATTTTACGCGACAAAACAGGAAGTTAGCCGGCTCACAGCTCTTGAGGTCTTCGCCGCCGTGACATGTAGTTACATTTTTGGGGACGTGCACGTCAGGCTACGCCGTAAATTCAACACAGAAGGATAAATCCAGCTTTAACTTTAGACTTAAGATAGGAAGTGTCTGTAATGTGGCCCCTGTTTTCTGTGGGGCCATAAGCCTTGTAGCCACCAGGGAGAACTTGGTCCACGTCTGGATTCAGCTTCTTCTGCCTGCTGCCACATTACTGTTGTTTACAACACTGCTGTTATCCAGTGAAGCATCTGTTAGAAGCCAGCGGAGAGGAATGTTGTTGAAGTTATTTCTCTTCTTTTATACTGAGACCCATTCCTCAGCGGATCTACTGATTATTTGGCATCATTCTACATTCATTTCATGTTCGCCTACAAACAAACAGGGTGTGTTTTAGTTGACATGAAGATGCCGGCGGGCAGAAATGTAAAACATCTGAAGTGACTTTACCTTCTTTCAGAATGCATCTCTCATTGAACATCATCATCAGTTATTCATTTCACATTATGCACGCCTATGGGTAAAAATAAATCGGACATTACTGTTCGTAACTGTGCGGACAGTTTGTAGGGACTAATAGAGCCGTTAGCTTGTACATAGAAGGCGATGGTGATTCATTCACTCTTGTGCAAAATTAAAGAAACAAGCGTGTGTCTCCATGAAGGTTTATTTAAAAGATAACTCATTAAACTGAAATGCAGTTTTTACATATTAGTCACACTGAATTACAGACAACGCCCTGAGCTGGTTGAAAGGAAACAGTTTTAGTGCTCCTTATTGTTTTGTTGAATCAAACCTGGTCTAAAAAGCCACATATTGTGTTAAGACTGTTGTAGGTGAAAACATAAATGCAGCGAGGCAGGAGTCAGGTCCGGACAAGGAGGCTGTCGGGTTCAGGTGTCAGATACACAAGGCAGAACAAACTTCCCTGGACCGAAACTGACATCTGGCTCAGGCTACGATCTGGAGTGTTGAGACAGGAACCAGGTCTCTGAAGCAGAGCGGAGGGAAGATGACTGGCAGCAGGTGAACCGACTCCTGCACACCTGTGATCACACACACAGGAGAGATCAGATTAAAGAGGAAGTTGTGTTTTTAATGATTATCCCTTTCTTTCAGTTTTTGAAATTGAGCTGTTTGTTTGGGGGAACTGCAGAAACATTCTGGTATGAGGATGTGTTTATATATAAACCACTCACAAAAAGTAGGGAAATCTCTTCGGTAGACTATTTCTTTGTTTCGCTTTTTGGCAATAAATCTTGTAGACTTGGAAAGCCTGTCTCTTTTTGTAAGGAGCAAGCATTTGTGGGTTGCAGCCATGAAAAACTTGCCAAGTCTTCTCTGACAATGCCAAACAGCTTAACTCTAACCCATCTGCAGGAATCCACCGCTCCCTGAACAAAAACAACCAATCAGAGCCAGGACCTGTCCCTAAAGTTGTGTCAATCACTGCTCATGCTCACGCTGCAGCCCCGCCCCCACATGCTGTCACTCAGTCCGGCTCCACATCTTCAGCTGAGAAACAGCCAGCAGCAGAAAGAGCTGCCTGCCCCCCCCCCCCTCTGCCCACAACAGCGTGTGGTACAGAACCCGACCTAACCCGTTTTGTCAGGCTGAGGTTGCGGCACTCGACTGGTGGGAGAACTAAAGATAAGAACCTGACATCTGAACCGGGAAGAGCTGGAACAATCAGCCTCTCACATCAAGAAATGTTCAAACAAGCAGAGAAGAAACTTTAGCTTTTATTTTATTTTTCTTTACCTGAAATCTCCACGAGACGCCAAGTGGTTAATATTTAACCAAGACGAGCATCCTTCCTGAGTCCTCCTCCTCATCACAGTCCTGGAGCTCACATGGTCGTTATTAAAAACCTGTAATTCATTATGTTTCTTTCAATACCTTATCCACAGTCAGAGTCCAGGCCGGGAAGCAGAGCGAGTCCCTGCTGTGGACAAAAGACTTCATGAGCTGAGGCCGCAGGTCAGCTGGACAGCGTGAAACACAGCCGATACCAATTGACATGAACTATTACAACCAGTTGAAACACATTCCTGAAGACCTCAGGTCTGTGGTCGTCAAGTCCATGTTTGACTGTAACAAAAACGGGAGACACAAGGGTAAACTAAATAACAAAGTGATTTATTAATAAGAAAATAAGTGAAACCAGTGAGTGGGAAGAATCTGTAGTGTCAGTAGTGTAGGGAGTGGATGAGTGAAAATGTGCTGCATGGATGTTGTGCTGTGAAAACAAAGACAAGAAACCAAACAAACAAAGGAAGCCGTGAGATGAAGAGGTCCAACCCAGACTGACTGCTGTTCTGGCTTATATGCATGGGGCACACCAGGGCCCAGGTGTGTCCCACGCCACTGATTACTCTGCCAATCAGGTCTGCAGCCCTGGAGACAGACAGCACACCAACAACAGTATGAACCCTGCAGAGGGGCCATCACAGTGGTCCTCATGTCCATGGTCCTCGGGTCCGTGTTTCTCAGGTCCATGTTTCTCAGGTCTATGGGACTGCATTTCTACGCAGCTACGGTTACTGATCACCACCTGCTGCTGCTGGGCTATAAGTTGCTGGGTCCAGTCTCTCTGGGTCGATGGCCTGCTGTCTGGGTTCGGTTTCTCCTTGTGTATTTTTTCGCCACACTTCACTGTGCACACATACAGACACACAACAGGCTGCTGAGGTTACTGATTAACATGCTTGTTAGATCCAGTGGTTAATTTACATTTTGTTAAATAAATCTTTAGTTAGAATTCCTGTGCTGTCCTCTCCTCTTTGTCCTCCCTCTGAGCCGGGTTGGGACAAAACCCTGTCCACAGCAGGTAATACTCTGACTGTACAGAAGTACTACTTCAATACCCGACAGGAAGTGTTTGTGTCATGACGAGGCTGCAGATCATCAGTTTCACAGTCCCTCCTTGAACCTCAGGACTCTCAGCTTCATCACGTGACATCGACCTCTTGGATGTCGTGGACGGATAAGTGTTTCTGTCTGAACAGCAGGTGTCTGGTGCTCTCCTCCTCGCTCTGCATGGGGACAAAGACTGGATTTGTTTGGGCCGGCGCTCCGCCCACGCAGCCACAGCGTGGACGGGGGGGGGGGGGCAGGGGGGGGGGGGGTTCAGTTCGCCCAGAACACCGTGTTCTGGAAATCTGTGTCACATTCTCTGCTCTCTTGTAAATAATGGAGAGCTGCCAACAGAGCTGCCACCGAGGAGCCGAGGAGGACTCGGCCTGAGGAACCCTGTCGCTGCTCAGACATAGCTTCATCTCATGTTTATCAAGGATGTTTCAGGTTTATAAAGGATATTTCAGCTTTATAAAGGACGTTTCATGTTTTTAAAGGGTGTTTCAGCCTTATAAAGGATGTTTATAAAGGATGTTTATAAAGGGTGTTTCAGGTTTAAAAAGGATGTTTCAGCTTTATAAAGGACGTTTCATGTTTTTAAAGGGTGTTTCAGCCTTATAAAGGATGTTTATAAAGGATGTTTATAAAGGGTGTTTCAGGTTTAAAAAGGGTGTTTCAGCCTTATAAAGGATGTTTATAAAGGGTGTTTCAGGTTTAAAAAGGGTGTTTCAGCCTTATAAAGGATGTTTTTAAAGGATGATTTTAAAGGATGTTTATAAAGGATGTTTATAAAGTGTGTTTCAGGTTTAAAAAGGGTGTTTCAGCCTTATAAAGGATGTTTATAAAGGGTGTTTCAGGTTTAAAAAGGATGTTTCAGCTTTATAAAGGACATTTCATGTTTTTAAAGGGTGTTTCAGCCTTATAAAGGATGTTTATAAAGGATGTTTATAAAGGGTGTTTCAGGTTTAAAAAGGATGTCTCAGCCTTATAAAGGATGTTAAAAGGATGTTTATAAAGGATGTTTATAAAGGGTGTTTCAGGTTTAAAAAGGATGTTTCAGCTTTATAAAGGACGTTTCATGTTTTAAAGGGTGTTTCAGCCTTATAAAGGATGTTTATAAAGGATGTTTATAAAGGGTGTTTCAGGTTTAAAAAGGGTGTTTCAGCCTTTTAAAGGATGTTTATAAAGGATGTTTATAAAGGATGTTTATAAAGGATGTTTATAAAGGGTGTTTCAGGTTTAAAAAGGGTGTTTCAGCCTTATAAAGGATGTTTATAAAGGATGTTTATAAAGGATGTTTATAAAGGGTGTTTCAGGTTTAAAAAGGGTGTTTCAGCCTTTTAAAGGATGTTTATAAAGGATGTTTATAAAGGGTGTTTCAGGTTTAAAAAGGGTGTTTCAGCTTTATAAAGGATGTTTTAAAGGATGTTTATAAAGGATGTTTATAAAGGATGTTATAAAGGGTGTTTCAGGTTTAAAAAGGGTGTTTCAGCCTTTTAAAGGATGTTTATAAAGGATGTTTATAAAGGGTGTTTCAGGTTTATAAAGGGTGTTTCAGCCTTATAAAGGATGTTTTTAAAGGATGTTTATAAGGATGTTTATAAAGGGTGTTTCAGGTTTAAAAAGGGTGTTTCAGCCTTTTAAAGGATGTTTATAAAGGATTTTTATAAAGGGTGTTTATAAAGGGTGTTTCAGGTTTAAAAGGGTGTTTCAGCTTTATAAAGGATGTTTATAAAGGATGTTTATAAGGGTGTTTCAGGTTTAAAAAGGGTGTTTCAGCTTTATAAAGGATGTTTATAAAGGATGTTTATAAAGGGTGTTTCAGGTTTAAAAAGGGTGTTTCAGCTTTATAAAGGATGTTTATAAAGGATGTTTATAAAGGGTGTTTCAGGTTTAAAAAGGATGTTTCATGTTTTTAAAGGGTGTTTCAGCCTATAAAGGATGTTTATAAAGGATGTTTATAAAGGGTGTTTCAGGTTTAAAAAGGGTGTTTCAGCCTTATAAAGGATGTTTATAAAGGATGTTTATAAAGGGTGTTTCAGGTTTAAAAAGGGTGATTCAGCCTTATAAAGGATGTTTATAAAGGATGTTTATAAAGGGTGTTTCAGGTTTAAAAAGGGTGTTTCAGCCTTATAAAGGATGTTTATAAAGGATGTTTATAAAGGGTGTTTCAGGTTTAAAAAGGATGTTTCAGCTTTATAAAGGACGTTTCATGTTTTTAAAGGGTGTTTCAGACTTATAAAGGATGTTTATAAAGGATGTTTATAAAGGGTGTTTCAGATTTGAAAAGGGTGTTTCAGCCTTATAAAGGATGTTTATAAAGGATGTTTATAAAGGGTGTTTATAAAGGGTGTTTCAGGTTTAAAAAGGGTGTTTCAGCCTTATAAAGGATGTATATAAAGGATGTTTATAAAGGGTGTTTCAGGTTTAAAAAGGGTGTTTCAGCCTTATAAAGGATGTTTATAAAGGGTGTTTCAGGTTTAAAAAGGGTGATTCAGCCTTATAAAGGATGTTTATAAAGGATGTTTATAAAGGATGTTTATAAAGGGTGTTTCAGGTTTAAAAAGGATGTTTCAGCTTTATAAAGGATGTTTATAAAGGATGTTTATAAAGGATGTTTATAAAGGGTGTTTCAGCCTTATAAAGGATGTTTATAAAGGATGTTTATAAAGGGTGTTTCAGGTTTAAAAAGGGTGTTTCAGCCTTATAAAGGATGTTTATAAAGGATGTTTATAAAGGGTGTTTCAAGTTTAAAAGGATGTTTTAGCCTTATAAAGGATGTTTATAAAGGATGTTTATAAAGGGTGTTTCAGGTTTAAAAAGGGTGTTTCAGCCTTATAAAGGATGTTTATAAAGGATGTTTATAAAGGGTGTTTCAGGTTTAAAAAGGATGTTTCAGCTTTATAAAGGATGTTTCAGGTTTAAAAAGGGTGTTTCAGCCTTTTAAAGGATGTTTCAGGTTTTTAAGGGGTGTTTCAGGTTTATAAAGGGTGTTTCAACTTTATAAAGGATGTTTCAGGTTTAAAAAGGGTGTTTCAGGTTTAAAAAGGATGTTTCAGCCTTATAAAGGATGTTTATAAAGGATGTTTATAAAGGATGTTTCAGCCTTATAAAGGATGTTTTTAAAGGATGTTTATAAAGGATGTTTATAAAGGGTGTTTCAGGTTTAAAAAGGGTGTTTCAGCCTTTTAAAGGATGTTTTAAAGGATGTTTATATAGGGTGTTTATAAAGGGTGTTTCAGGTTTAAAAAGGGTGTTTCAGCTTTATAAAGGATGTTTATAAAGGATGTTTATAAAGGGTGTTTCAGGTTTAAAAAGGGTGTTTCAGCCTTATAAAGGATGTTTATAAAGGATGTTTATAAAGGGTGTTTCAGGTTTAAAAAGGGTGTTTCAGCCTTATAAAGGATGTTTATAAAGGATGTTTATAAAGGATGTTTCAGGTTTAAAAAGGATGTTTCATGTTTTTAAAGGGTGTTTCAGCCTTATAAAGGATGTTTATAAAGGATGTTTATAAAGGGTGTTTCAGGTTTAAAAAGGGTGTTTCAGCCTTATAAAGGATGTTTATAAAGGATGTTTATAAAGGATGTTTATAAAGGGTGTTTCAAGTTTAAAAAGGATGTTTTAGCCTTATAAAGGATGTTTATAAAGGATGTTTATAAAGGATTTTTATAAAGGGTGTTTCAGGTTTAAAAAGGGTGTTTCAGCCTTATAAAGGATGTTTATAAAGGATGTTTATAAAGGGTGTTTCAGGTTTAAAAAGGATGTTTCAGCTTTATAAAGGATGTTTCAGGTTTTTAAGGGGTGTTTCAGCTTTTTAAAGGATGTTTCAGGTTTTTAAGGGGTGTTTCAGGTTTATAAAGGGTGTTTCAACTTTATAAAGGATGTTTCAGGTTTACAAAGGGTGTTTCAGGTTTAAAAAGGATGTTTCAGCTTTATAAAGGATGTTTCAGGTTTAAAAAGGGTGTTTCAGCCTTATAAAGGATGTTTATAAAGGATGTTTATAAAGGGTGTTTCAGGTTTAAAAAGGATGTTTCAGCTTTATAAAGGATGTTTCAGGTTTAAAAAGGGTGTTTCAGCCTTTTAAAGGATGTTTCAGGTTTTTAAGGGGTGTTTCAGGTTTATAAAGGGTGTTTCAACTTTATAAAGGATGTTTCAGGTTAAAAAGGGTGTTTCAGGTTTAAAAAGGATGTTTCAGCCTTATAAAGGATGTTTATAAAGGATGTTTATAAAGGATGTTTCAGCCTTATAAAGGATGTTTTTAAAGGATGTTTATAAAGGATGTTTATAAAGGGTGTTTCAGGTTTAAAAAGGGTGTTTCAGCCTTTTAAAGGATGTTTTTAAAGGATGTTTATATAGGGTGTTTATAAAGGGTGTTTCAGGTTTAAAAAGGGTGTTTCAGCTTTATAAAGGATGTTTATAAAGGATGTTTATAAAGGGTGTTTCAGGTTTAAAAAGGGTGTTTCAGCCTTATAAAGGATGTTTATAAAGGATGTTTATAAAGGGTGTTTCAGGTTTAAAAAGGGTGTTTCAGCCTTATAAAGGATGTTTATAAAGGATGTTTATAAAGGATGTTTCAGGTTTAAAAAGGATGTTTCATGTTTTTAAAGGGTGTTTCAGCCTTATAAAGGATGTTTATAAAGGATGTTTATAAAGGGTGTTTCAGGTTTAAAAAGGGTGTTTCAGCCTTATAAAGGATGTTTATAAAGGATGTTTATAAAGGATGTTTATAAAGGGTGTTTCAAGTTTAAAAAGGATGTTTAGCCTTATAAAGGATGTTTATAAAGGATGTTTATAAAGGATTTTATAAAGGGTGTTTCAGGTTTAAAAAGGGTGTTTCAGCCTTATAAAGGATGTTTATAAATGATGTTATAAAGGGTGTTTCAGGTTTAAAAAGGATGTTTCAGCTTTATAAAGGATGTTTCAGGTTTTTAAGGGGTGTTTCAGCTTTTAAAGGATGTTTCAGGTTTTTAAGGGGTGTTTCAGGTTTATAAAGGGTGTTTCAACTTTATAAAGGATGTTTCAGGTTTACAAAGGGTGTTTCAGGTTTAAAAAGGATGTTTCAGCCGTATAAAGGATGTTTATAAAGGATGTTTATAAAGGGTGTTTCAGGTTTAAAAAGGATGTTTCAGCCTTATAAAGGATGTTTATAAAGGGTGTTTCAGGTTTAAAAAGGGTGTTTCAGCCTTATAAAGGATGTTTTTA